TATATATATATATTAATATCATATATACATACATACATAACTAAAATGCACATAGTGAAATCGTCTGGACACATAAATCTTTTTAAGTTTTAGTACGAGTTTTATGGCACTTGCAACATAATAAGGTCATATAAGTGCCGAAGAATAGAGGTGTTACAAGAGAGTAACATATACAAGAAAGAAGGAGGGAAGATAAGGACAATAAATGTTAGATAGGAAAGAAGGAGCAAACCACACCAGAGCAACCGCCAACCACCCACAACGTCAGATGTCCTAAGTATATGTCCTAAGACAAAAGTGATAGTGAAACGTCAGATGTCCTAAGTATATGTCCTAAGACAAAAGTGATAGTGAAATGTCAGATGTCCTAAGTATATGTCCTAAGACAAAAGTGATAGTGAAATGTCAGATGTCCTGAGACAAACGTGATAGTGAAATGTCAGATGTCCTAGACAAAAGTGATAATGAAATGTCAGATGTCCTAAGTATATGTCCCCCATTGTCTCACCGATGTTGGAGAGTATCTTGTCCCGCTCCATCTCCGTCTCCTTGATCTTCTGCTGCAGCTGGTGAACTTTATCCTCGTAGTGAACCTGAATGGTGCATGAAAAGAGAAGTCGGGGTGTTACCTTTTTTTAAAAAAAAATAGTAGAGGGTTTTACGGCGCTCGCAACTGCATAAGGTCATATGAGCGCCAAGGGGTGGGTGTCAATAGAGAAGTCTTTACAGGGAATCAGACTTATCCTGCTCACCTCTCTAGCTTCAACAGCACAAGGACTGCTTCGACTATCAAGGCACCCCGGAAATAGCGGGTCACAAGAGTGTGACAAACATACAAACGAAGTAGAGGGGAAATGACTTTGTAACTTAACTGAGAATTACAATATAAACGTACCAAGCAAAAAGACACAGATATATATTATAAAAACTTTCACAGAAATAAATCCCTGAAATTACAGGTTGGAGGGGGGTGGGGGGATACCAAAGGCAGTGGCAGCCATTTTTTTTAAATTTCCACGGCAACCAGTTCAAAAATAAGACAGAAAACTAAGCATTTTTACTTTGACTTAATTTAAACGCTAAATCCGATATAAACAATCCAGATAGTAACTCATGTGTTTATTAACCGAATCATGTACTGGAGAGAATATTCTCACCCAAAAAGGGCGTTAACACTTTAAAAAAAAAAGGAATTAAAACAAAAATCTAGAGCCCTCGTTGTTGAGCACACCGACCTTGAGTGTACTCATCTTCTTCTGCGTCTGCTCCAGCTCCTCTATCAGTTTCTGCTTGATGCTGATCTCACAGGTCAGGTTATAGAGGTCCTCGTGGACGTTGTCAGACTCTGTGAGGGG